TTTGCAATTTACTCATTAACCCCTGAAATTTCATAATGAACTATACCAACCTTTGAATTGGAAGAGTTCAAATGTGTCTTCAGGGGTGAACGTCAGTTAAGTGCCTTTGGTACCTGGAAATCCTTTTTTGAGTAAAGAAAGAGTGCATAGCTTAACTGGGGCTGGGTCCAAAAGTAATTATTTAAGCTTTTAAGTTTTAAAAGGCTACTGCTCCTGAACTGATGATCATATTTCAACCAATTTTTCTATTAAGCTTCCTTTTGTTCAGGAAATCAAATGATAGGTGCTGAGAGGCAAAGCTCTAAAAGAGAAATGATATGCAGTTTTTAATTGTTTTGTTGTAGATTCAGGCAGAGTAAAAGTTGGCAGTAGCACATTAGCTTGCAGAACATTTTCAAAAACTTTTATGTTAAATGTGCATCACTGTTTTTGAGTGCGTGAACTTTTCCCTGTAATTTTACCATGTGATGAAGCACATTTGAATTGGCTTGACAGTAAAATTTCTGAGTTCCCTGTGCGAGGTGATAACTGATGTAGAAAGCATGATTGTTTAGGACTAACAAATAATAACATGTATTATAGGTCTGTGTAATGATTGTAATGACATAATTGAGTAATACTCGAATACTCTACACACTACATTTGTATGTGTATGTTACTGGGGCCACCGTGTGAGGACTGGGGACTGGACCCAGTTGATGTACTGTCAGACTGACAGCTCCAGGGACAGGGGGGGACAGATTTATCATTACACTACATGACTGATGTAGGATGGTGTGTTGGCAGATTTTGATCATCAAGCTTAACACAATGTATAGTGATAATGCTCTTTACACTGAAACAAAGTGACCAGTATTGATATATGTATGTATAGCAATACTGCTCTTTACACTGAAACAAAGTGACCAGTATTGATATATGTATAGCGATACTGCTCTTTACACTGAAACAAAGTGACCAGTATTGATATATGTATAGTGATACTGCTCTTTACACTGAAACATAGTGACCATTATTGATATAATTTTTTTTTGTATGTATAGTGATACTGCTCTTTACACTGAAACAAAGTGACCAGTATTGATATATATTAGTATTCTCTATAGGAATTGATACCAAATTCTGATACATTACTTTTTAGGTAACATACAATTACGTAATGACAAATCTCATTCAAGAAATATTACTCTATAGTATATTGATGCAGAAGTTGTGTTTGGTTATAAGAACTACTTTCCTTGTAGTTTTGGATACGGTTCTACTTTTCTGGTATTGCAGGTTTATGTGAAAATGTGTTGTGGTTACCAGAAGTATTTCTGTTTTTCACTAGATTTATGTAAAGATATGTTTGGGGTACCCGAAGTGCTAGTTATAGTTCCTTTTTAAACCAGTTTAAAGAAAAACATATATGGGTTACCAGAAGTCTTTGCAATTTTCATCTTTGACATACAGTATTATAAAATATCTCTGTTAATTCACTTAGGTGCTGACCCTATAGTGATAAAAAATAGTAGCTGCTGGAATTTCCTGTTTGCTGATCTGTGAGGGCATCAATGACTCCTGACAGTTACTTAAAAATTCAGGAAATATTGACATTCAGCTTTATATGAAAGTATTATGAGTAAAAAAACATACTAACATTACTCATAGTTACCCAAGGTCTCTGATTAAACTACAAATAAGGAAAGAATCTTTCTCTTAAAATAAATCTTTTAACCTCTTTTCAGACCTTGCCTTCCTTGATATTTTTGCATAGGCTTTGATGAAAATGTGTTTTCCATTCAGAAGATCAAGTGTTGTCCAGATTGTTAGCGTTGACCTTTTCTGACTCACACTTCGGCCCTTGAGTGTTTACTTTCTCCCTATGACCATCTCCCGATCAAGTGCAGTCACCAAGCGTTATGTTTTTTCTGCCTGATATTGGTATGCGCCTGGAGCTAACATTGGATTGGTTTGAAATATTAGCTGACTACATGTAATTAACACCTGTCAGGGTAAGCAGATTGTTCTGTATTGGGGCAAAATGATGCTATTGGATGTTCAACAAGAGAACGGAAAGTCAATGGTGTTAAAAGGCTTCCTGCTCCAGTGTGCAAGGCCCGAGGCCAGACAAACTGGGGGTTTCTTCCGAATAACAAGCCGGATCACAGAGCGTAATAAGCTGGAAAGGTGTTGGTATCTTTTATAGAGATCTGGGTTTGTTTTGTTCTAATTACCAGCTTACAATGCCTGCCAGATACAAGTCTGTAAAATAATGGTCTTACAGCTAGCTCAATTAATCTGGTTTGTAACTCTGTTTGTGTTGCTAAACACACGACTTGCAGGTTTATGGGAGTTTAATTGTGCACATGCCTTGCAGGATTAAGGTGACTTTGTGCATGCTTGCCTGTAACATACACTTTGAAATCAGATAGTCCTTCACTTGGCATTCATTTTCAGTGAAGGGCATACTATCTCAAATTGAATATCGTAGAAATTTGGGAATTGTAATGTACAAAGATTGGAAAACAAAACAGGCTGTGTATCAGGGAACCTTAGATGATGGTAAAACAGTAGGTATTTCCTGATCTTAACATCTATTAACCCTTTCACCACTAGTACTGTAGACTGTAATGGACTCATCCATATCAATGCATGTTTAGAGTCTACTAAATTTACAAAGGGGTGTATGTTAGCTTTGACAAACTTCCACCTTAAATTTATTTTTGTAAGTTTTGAAAATACCTTTGTAATCCTTTATTACAAAGCTCACATTTGTTTTCTAGACAATATGTGTTATATCACTGCTTTTCTCGACACTTGTTGATAAGCAGGGTCAAGTGCGGGGTTTATGGAAATGTAATCTGACCTGGTGTATGGTAACTAAACCATGCCCTGGTGTAATGATTTGTAGAGAGGTGAATTGTACTGTAATGAGGGACCAATAGAGCTGAGCTTACCCTCCCAATCTAAGTCACCTCAACAAATCTCTAGCATACTACATGTACAGTAGACTTAGTTTTGTACTGGCACCATTCGACAGAGTCTGGGATGAGTCTCAGTGTCCCCACCATTATGTCCTGTCCTGTTGCTCCACTGAACTGGGACTAAGTGATCATCACCTGATGTTACAATGATACACCTCAGTAGAACTGTCGAGTGACTCTATATACCAGACTTGTATCAGCTCTGAACTGTAAATTAGGGCTAACTGACCTAATTCTCCAATACTACACTTGTACACTGTGACCTTCTGATGATAAATGGAGGTTAGGAAACTAATAATCCAGGCCTATATTAGTATGATTGACCTAATAACCCTTTTAATACTTTAACTGAGAAGATTAACCTTATAATCTTATACATGTATTAGCCTTAAATGGGCTTAGTGACCTTATAGTCCTAGCTATACTAGAATTAACTGGGCTAGTTGACCTATATAATACTTACATATGTTAAATGACCCAATACATTTGTAGTTTTATGATAGACTAGCTGGGAATGAGTGACCTACATACAATACTAGACTAATATCTTAAATGTCTTAATCAATACCTTATACCAACTAGACTAAACTAGCTAATAAATGTCTTTAATGACTTAATCATCTTATGCCAACTAGACTAAACTAGCTAATAAATGTCTTTACTGACTTAATCATCTTATGCTAACTATAGACTTTACTGGACTTAAAAAATGTTTCAAATGGCCTAAACATTTTATACTAACATAGTTTGACAAAGTTCTAAGTTTTTCTTTAATGTGAGTGTTTTTCAGACCATACTAACCTGACTTAACTGGACTAAGTTACTTAATTGGCCTAAACTGGACTTACTGGGGCACAGGGACGTAATAACCCCATGCAGGATTTAATAATATTACATTGACTGAAATTAAACTTGTATAATCTTGTATTATAGACTTGGTAAGTATCACATTAAATGTATTCAGTCATCTCTGCTATATTATTAGCAAAGATCATCAGTTAAGAAGAATAGTTGATAGATGGATCTGATATGGTCACCCACTTCCTTATAAAAACGGTCATTATTATTTTTTCTTATTGTTTCTATGGAGTTGTGAACTGTGTACCGAATTGTCTGGTTCTTCATGTGATATGGTAATACCTGTGAGTTTTTGTCATTTTTCCAGTTAAGATAGACATGTTGGAAGATTTCCTTTTTGTAAAACATGTGTATACATTTACCAACTGTCAAAGAACTATCAGGTACCTTTTCCAGAAAGGTACAGGGCACAATATTACATAAAGTTTAATGTATTCACAAATTAATGAAATTAAAACCATCTTGAATATTGGCAATAACTGTAAATCTTACATGTAAAAGTTAGCATATCAATTACAAAATCTCATGCCAATTTGTAATTTACACATCAATTATTTGGACTGCACTGTCTCATTTGGTAGAATACATTTACCAGTATGCACCTAAAATAAAGATGCTACATTCGGAGTCCTAAAATTGTAAAAGATAACCAATCCCATGCAGAAATATTAGATTTGACTGTAGCACCTCATTTGGGCGAGTATGGTAATGCAGTGTGCCCCCTGTTGACCTTCACATCTGTGGTACGGCTCGAGACCTGCACACAAATTACTCTCATTTATCTATTTACCACACTTCAGTTAGTAATGCATGCTCAGTTTGTCCCCGTGTCACTTTGAACCTGTATTACCATATTCCGATTAATTCATACGTTACATATCTACAGACATGTAATGTTTTGTATACATATAAACAAAAAACAATCATGTTCACATCGTTAATACCCCAATATAAATAATATTATTTCCTCCCATGAAAATATCATTTATATTGTTTACTCCTTCATAATTATTTCTATCATTATGATGCAGATTATTTTCTTTCTGAGAATGAAAAATCAGCTATATTTGTCACATCGAGTGTTTGACATTTAAATTTCAAATTAATGTCAATTTAATTTTAACAGCGAGAAAATAAACATTTGTATGATGCTTATAACTTCGCTCTACTTTCCAGCCTCTGGAAATATCTACACCTGGGGAGCTGGATCAGATGGGCAACTAGGACACGGTGACCAAGTTTTGTTTCTGTCGGAACCTCAGCGACTAAAAAATCACCATCTTAGAGGAAAGATCATACACATATCTTCTGGAGAGTCGTTCTCTGCTGCAGTTACAGGTAAATGATATACATGTAGATAATGCAGGGTGCATGGAAAGGTGTGTTACATAGGTGATCATTTAGAGTCTGATAATAGCGCAGTACTAAACATTAGTAGTAGACCTGATTGGTCAGAGGTTTAATCAAAATAATACACAGCTTGAAGAAGACAACATTGTAATTTGTAATACAACAATGGAAATTACAGCTTGTTCTGTCATTTGACATCTGAGAAGAAAAACATTTAAGTTTATCAAAAACAAAAAAACAAAATGTTCCTCCAAGACATATCATGATTAAGTTACCATACATGTACTTTAACAGAAATGGGTTGATTTTGCAGACAAAACCTTATGTACAGTTGTACTTTAATATTGATATGTTGGTCCTGCAGAGAGAGAAAAGACAATTGGTTTGATGTACTTTTGTCTAGTAACTCTTTATAATCAATAACATTCTGTCCAAGGTGACAATTTACTGGTTCACAAATCAGTCGCATGCATGCTTTTAATCACATATTTGATTTATTCGAAATCTTATTTAAATGCTTTTTTTTTGGCAATATCGTAAACTGCTTTCTGGCGAAATGATGACATACCTGCATCTCATATAGCCAATCGCCATTATGGCAGTAGCTGGTTCAAAAACGTAAGACCATGAACAAACAAAATATCTGGTATAAAATTAATATAGGAAACTACAGAAACTTACTTTTTGTGTCCCCTTCAAATGAAAGTGACACATACTTAGTCTCAGTCAATATCACTTTCTCAGGTCTCTATAACCACATATTCACCTCAACAAAAGTTAATAATTGATAAATATATATATACATTGTAGTACTGGTTCTTTTTATCCTGATTAATTGGCCTGACCTTGAAACCTAAAGTATACCTGCTTGAACTGCAGGTGTGCTGTGGTGATGTCACATTGACCTTTACCCATAGGTCAAAGGTTAAATAAGTATAAAAATTTCAGCAACAACTTTTTTCAGGCTTTACACTTTTAAGCTGCTAAAAATATTTTGTCAAATATGTGACATTGGGGATGGGATGGTGTATGGGTAGAATTTACCAGCAGAGAGTTGTGGTGTGCACTTTTGGAATCTGTTGTGGTGTTATTTACATGAGATGCTGTCCATTGCGGTGTGGTATTGGGCAGTGGTGTGCATCCCTACCTGCTAGTCCACTGTCCACACCATATATAATCAGGCACGGTGCCCACCCTGCATAATCATAATAATCGCGGGGTAGTCGACATACAACATTAACTGTGATAGTAGGTTATGTTTTCTACATGTAAATTAAAGTGTTTGTGTCTTTGTAGATATGCATAGGGTGATTGATTAGCATATCTGACTGGCCGGCTAAAGTGAACATTATGTTAGCCATTACAAACACTAATGTGCATGCTCACGTAACAGTATTGGTATCGGTGTCCACTGTCGTACACAGCTGGTTTATTGTACATGTATTTCAAAAAAACAAATATATGCTGTAAATATCTGATTTTAACTGTCATAAGCATTGTTTATTTTTAATAAAGTTCAAATAATAGTGAGTCACTTAACTTATTAACATAAAAGATTATAACTATAAACCTTTAAAGGTTAAATCTGTCGTGATTTTATCCTTCATTTATCTAAGAAGTTATATTTAGACAGTTAAATCTGTCGTGATTTTATTCTTCATTTATCTAAGAAGTTATATTTTGACAGTTAAATCTGTGATGATATTATTCCAAATTTGTTCTAGATATTATGTTTAAACTAATGCTAATTATTTCACAAGATTCACTTTATTTTTTTTCTGAAAATCTGGATTGAAGTTTTAAAAAGACAGCATGATGACTTGTAAAATGTTGGGTGAAGTATTTTCTAAAGGAATAAATTTGATATGTACAAAATAGTGCAAAGTGATTATGCATGTTCAGAGACCTATGACAAGTTGAAAACTAATCACTATCGGTATTCATTATTCATATGAAAAAAATACACAGAAAATAAATACTGTCAGTATAAATAACCCCAAATTGACTTTTAATTTAAATGAATTTTTACACAAGATGTATTTTGAATGGTCGGTGGTGGGGCGTTTTGTGAATGCACTCCAGCAGACACAACCGCTAGGCTGGGTCAGGACTAACACAGAGACTGTTATTTATTACATCATAATTTCATATTTATCACCCTCTACACAGCCTATAAAACCCTACAGTACATGACCACGACCTACCCCGAGCAAACCATACTGGTGGAAATATACACCTTCTTTATTCCTTCATCAGAAACGGTATCAAGAACTAGGGTGAACGTGACGTGATAGAACGACCAAAAAGAAAATCGTACGCTAACAGAAGTCATTCAGAGAACACATAATTATGCAATTTTTATGAGATTCAAAACTGATTAAGGGTGAAGCAGAAAATTGGCATGAAATAAACATTATGTGATGAAAGGAATTTTTTCACATTTGTGCGAATAGAACTGTATTGGTGGCGACCACTCTGTCGACATGACGACCACTCCGTCGACCTGGCAAATGTGGTTAACAAAACACACCTCAACTTTGGACAAAATTTCTAATTACTGTGACAGAGCTGTAACATTTGTATGTTTTACACCCTGATCTGCTCGGCGCTGTGAGGCGGGCTTTGTCCTAATTATCATGGGTTATTCAATTAGGTTAATAAGACTTTACCGAATGTCTTCTCTACAATTTGTGGTCATGTGGTTTTCCATCATCAAGGGTTTTTTCAGCAGAACGGAGGACAATTAGTTGGTGTTGTCCATTGACATGGTAGCCAAGCCCAGATCACAAGTGGGGCGAGGTTCTGTGGGGACGGTGCAGACCGCAGTATTAACAGACTCGAAAATGTGAAATGAAACGCTGGCAGGACAAGAATCATAAACCTTCCTTTGGCTTCACCAGCAAGCAAATGAAATTACAGACAATCTAATCTTACATAATGCACACGACAAAGTCCTCATTACTTCCATTTTATGGTTTGAGAAATTTGAACAGAACATTGTGCAAACTAGAGAAAAGACTTCCATTTGGTAAAATGTTTTCATAATTAAACATTAACAACAAGTACTGCTCTTTGTGTTAAAATTTCTCCAGCAAAATTAATAAAAACCGTTTGTAATGGCTATGAAGACATTTTTCTCATTAGGGGAAAGTTGATGTTACCAATGCTGACTTATCCTGCTTCCCACAAGGGACTCTTCATTGTTAGTTTGTGTTCAATGTGACAGGGAATCCTCTCATAGAATATGTTAATGTAATCTCTGTAAATATTAGGTTACCAATATCTATATACCATATCATACTTCGTAAAAATATCTAATGGAGATTGTCAGCACTGTATTATGCAGAAATGGTATTTAATTTCAGTGTATTATAACTAACATATTTATTTATCAGTTTACAGTTCATTGTGAAAATATAGGAGATAAACAAATAGAAAATACACCAGGAGGTATAGTTCTTCTTATTTCTAATAAATATCCAATAATTATTTATTTCATATTTTGCCAAATAAACACCCGAATCTATAAGTAAGGAGGACATTTTTCTATTTTCTTGACTTTTTTTGTGATGAAATACAACCAGTATTTATGCAGAATGTCTTTTCATAAATTGGAAAATACATTGTAACTAACACCAAACTATCAAGAATGACCAAAATGTTTATAATTGTTGATGTTAAATGATCTGACCTTTGAGGTTTGTATTTTTTTTTGAAGTTGTTGTTTTTTGAAGTTTTTTGGATACTTACAGATGTTTGTGATTCAAATAAGCATTCAGTGTATAAGGAAAAATTGGTTTGCTATAAAATATCACTCAACAAGTTTCAGTAATTGGCAGGTGGAACTGAATTTCCAAAAGGATGTATGCATGCTTTTACCAGAACCTGTATCAATACACAGTGACAGACAGAGGGGGCCATTAAATATAAAATACCTGTAATTTCTTAATCTATCGGGTATTCTTTTCTGACTTAAGGATTCAAAACACTTTTCCAAAAAACCCAGATTTAAGATTTTAAGATTTCTTATTCACTCCAGACACACATTTCGTGTGTAACAGTAGGTCAGTCAATCTTCAGATACATTTAAATAAATATATTTGGATAAAAAAACTTAAATCTTAAGCAAAAACAAAAATAATTGTGTTATAAGTAATTATAAATGTTACATAAGAACTAATGCTAGAATCACACCAGCTTAAATACATTGGAATTAAAGTGATGAACTTTTAGTAATTGTTTTTTTTCGTTAGTAGGATGGGGAGAGGACAACCATATAAGCTGTTAACAAAGGATTACATTATTATTGTTATTCAATTTGTAAAAAAATTGATATAGGAATGAATAGAACCATTATAATTTAACTTGTATTTTGTTATAGGACTCAACAGAAAGTAACTGAAGATATTATTGTAGGACTCGGACAGAAATATTTTGATTTAACCTGTTAAGATTTTATTAAAGGATCCAAAAGACATGTTATAATTTAATTTGTTAAGTCTTTATTATAATATTCAACACAAAGATGATTTGTAAAGAATTTTATTAAATGACTTTTTTTCTAATAGAAATTGTATAATATTTAAAAATTTTATTTTACTAAAAAAGAAGTTTCTGTTTTGTTATTCAGAATTCTTTACTATTGAAAAGACATGTAAAAATAAATTAAACCCTTTCTTATTGCAATTTTAACTGAAAGGGACAATAGTACCAGATGGACACTGTCAATTTTCTAAAACATTTCCTGTGTAAAAATATTGATCAATATTTCCTGTCCCTTTTTTCGCCACAGAAAATTTTTCACCGAAATGTCTTAACAGTAAAGCGAGATTTGTTGGAAAGTTTTCAGTCAGAATGGCTTTGTCCTATGTCACAAGTACAGTGCTCCGCCATCAGATAACGGAGCTTGGGTGCCGAGGTAATTTTTCCCTGGTTATCTAATGTGAACGTGACGGCTAACTTATCTACTCCCGATGTGACGGCCAACAATCACACCGCCAATGGTTATCTATTTCACGAGATTTTGAAAAGCCCCTCAAACCCCGGTGCTTTGAAAGGTTTTCACCAACATTTGAATGTTGAAAGTTGTGGGCCATTAATACTGTGCTTTATATAGACCCTGCAGCAGTAAACAGGCGAGGCTACGAGACAATCACTAGGAACTGCACTGTCTCGAGGTCATGCAGCGGAATTATCATCACGAAAAAATCACACAGACGCTATATGTATTTCATCTTCAAAGCTAAAAAGAGCAATATAGATTTGGCTAATTGAAATGCTGTGTACCTCATCAATTCTGTATTCAGATAAGCAAATAGTTACTAACAAGTCTGCAAACATGTTTTGATAACAAATTTATGGATATTTGTTACATTCCTCCTTATCAAGTTATTATATCTCTCAATATTTGCACTCATTTTAACATCGCTGTTCCATTTTTCCAAAAGGCCATAAATTCCCTTTCATAGGCCTTCATGAGAACCTTTTCATCTTTGTACCATAACCATTTTTAGCTTGTCTACAATAGGATAAGATGAAAAATCAATTTCTGTTTCAGGACTAATAGGAGACAGTTTGTTCGTCATTAATTATCCATTTGGTTGTATCACTCAACAGAGCACTGAGTTAATTTTTCAGCCGAGCTGATTATGTTTTGCCATTTTTACGTACAGTCAATTTGTAAAGGGATGGTGGAAGATAAGGATCGGTGCCATTGTTCGGTCCTAAATGGTTCCAGAGTGACAGTGGAGAATAACACACCTCCCCTCCCTATCTTCTCTGCATGTCAAACCCGCAGTGATAGATGGCTGAAATATTACTCGCTACTTAGGCAAGAACAAATGATTATAATAACTGGATAAAATTTCACAAATTTATGGATTTTACTTCTCATGATATGCTCTGTAATCAGACATAATGTTGTCTGTGGTGAAAGCATTTCATCGAGGCATGTCCAATCCATGTGGTTGGAAAGGCTTCCATGGCCTTGGGTCCGTTGGATGTTATAGAGCATGACCTGAAAAAGAAGTTATCTTTTGAAAAATGCATTGAAATCCTTTTTGTATTCATCGATGAGATTTCACTTTGGCCTGTGACAAAGCGGGAGCCATTATAAAGTGAAACCAAAACTCCTTCCGGTAGGGCGAGGTTACCTTGTCAATACCCCGTCGTCGATATAGACCAGTCAAGCGCTCTCGAAATTGAAAGATATTCTTTGTGCTGTTGATGTGTTGATCATTGAGAATGAAAGATGAGCGAGTTAATTAATGAAGTTATTATGCACTTTTATAATGAATGATTTCAGTGTTTGCTTTTTGTGACCGACTGCTTTGTGAAGGTAGACAGGGTGGTATGGCCTATGTCTGTGACACACAGTATGTCGGTAGGGGGAAGTCGGCCGTGGTTCACACTCACTTACATACTCACCATTGTTAAGGCATTAATTAGGACCACAGGTGATACCCTCATGAAGTATCGCAATAATTTGATGACCTAATAAATCATTTCAATAATTTGATGGCTTATTATAGAAATCTTTAATTAGATTTTTTCATGTTTAGACACATTTAATCAATATTTTTCAAAGTACAGAAGCTTCCAATAATTGACTTTTTCTGCACCCATCCATTTATTTTCACAAATATATTTTGACAATAATTTTCGATTTGGCTGTATAAGTCTAACCTTTATTTGATTATTATCTCCTATATGTACTAATGGAAGGGGCTAGAGATTTGCAATCTGTCAGACTGTATATATGTATAATTATCTGTCAGTATGTCCATGGCTGTTTGTCTACACTTGTTTCTAGCCTTACCTTAGAATCCAGAAGTTAGAAATTATACATGATGATACACTGTTACATGTAGATGTAGGATAGGGGTTGAAAAGGTCAAGGTCAGTCTTTCTAAAAAAAGAACAGGGGAATATCGTCAAATAAATTACAATGCTCCTTCTGACCCACCAGTGTTCAGTTCAGTGGTAAATATTATGTGATGCATACCCTACATGAATACAACCAAATAATTTCTGAATTAAAAAAAGCAAAGCTGACCACTGGTCTAAGGTCACTGCAACTAGAACTAGAACTGGGGTGATTTTACATCACATCTACACTAAAGGGCCTGTTCTGAGTTGTCATTGATTGTTGTGATTGTTATGTAACTGGATGGATAAACTTCATAAATGACACCATATTTCTTGAATGCCAAAATCCATGTAGGCCACCCTCCCTTACATTTTATTATCCCGTATTTAGAATTTTTGTGTCATGCAGGTCAGTCACTAAAACTATTGGAGATTCACTTGACAGATCTGAAACCTGATTTTTGTATAATATATGTTTGCAGAAGAAAATCTTAATAAATAATTCTGTTTAGAAAATGGCCGCCTGTATATGTGGGGTAAGAACAGTCACACGATCCATCCAGATGAAGCTTCCGGTCATCGTGTCTGGGAGCCACACTGTGTGAACTCCAGGGGTCAACCAGTACAATATATTACCTGTGGGTCGTGGCATGCTGTCAGCATCACTGGTTCTCCAGGTAGGTAATAGTGACCTGCACTGGTCCACCAGGTAGGTAATAGTGACCACTGGTCCACCAGGTAGGTAATAGTGACCACTGGTTCACCAGGTAGGTAATAGTGACCACTGGTTCACCAGATAGGTAATAATGGTTCACAAGGTTGGGTGAGGCACGGAAGTCTAGTAGTAGGACATCGTGCTCGTGGGTTCGAGTCATGTCACGACACTGTTATATATTTGAACAAGATACTTTACGCCGCTTGTTCCAGTCTACTCACCTGTAAATGAGTCTGTGGTTGGGCAGTGCTAGAATTGTTGAATGCTAGCTGTGAGTGCCAAAATGGCAGCACCGCCTGTATGCTCTCCAGGGAGTTGAGAAAGATATTGGCTGGTTGCAAAGGCCCTATAACCACGGATAATAATAAGTGAACCGCTTTGAGACGACCTACGAACTAGGTTGTGATAAAGCGGTATATAAGAACCTTGAATTATTATTATTATTGTAATGGTTACCTGTCTATAGTGACCACTGGTTCACCATGAACTGTATGTAATGGTCACCTGTCTATGTAATGGTCACCTGTCTATGTAATGGTCATCTGACTTATAGTGACCACTGGTTCACCAGGTATGTACTATATACAATTTTCACCTGTCCATAGTGACCACTCATTCACCAGTTACTATATATATATTTGATGGTCACCTATCTTGATTAATGGTCATCTGTCGATAGTGACTAGTTGTTCAAAATGTAAGTACTATATAAAATGGTATTCTATCAAGAGTAACCACAGGTTTGCCAGGTGTATAATTAATATTTTATGGTTCATAATTTGTATGGGTCACCTGTCTAAAATGACCACTGGTTCAGGTATATACTGTTTTCAATGGTCACCAGATCAAATCTGTATCTAATGAGGCTGCAGGCACTTATTTCTGATTGGTTGAAGCTTTCTTTACTTAAAGTCAGATTCTTCTTCATATTATTCCACAAATTTACTTGTTTTGAGTCATATTTAATTTCTAGTAACCAGTTAAATTAGACGTTTAATGTTGAAAGAAGAGGACCATGGCAGTTTTTGGTCACATTCATACAGGGTGTGTCATAAATCATGATTTTTTGTGTTTTTTGTTTGTTTGTCAAATGTACAAATAATTTAATTAAACTTTTTACTCATATCTTCTTTAAGACAATAATTGTCTTTTCAGGTCAGCAATCTTAATCTTTGTTGAGCTATTTATAAAAAGGAAGTATAAGATAGGTTGATGTGTGTTGTAGAGTTTATAAGGAGAGGCAGTGTTGACAAGTTGGAGTTTTCGGATTCCGTGTGTTTGGATCATTCCGAGGGGTCTGTAGAGGATTCGGCAGACATAGATCATTGTGATTCTGTGATTACACCAGAGGACTTAGGAAACACAAACCAGGTATGTTTGGGAAGAAACGTTACATTTAGTCTGGGGAGAGTGGTTTAGTGCTGAAGGTCTACAAAATGTTTCCAGAAACTGGGAAAACAGTTGCTATCAGTCACATGGAATTGTTACAGATCTACAGATCTTACAAGGATTCTCCAAGTACTCTGTAGAAATGATAATATATTCAAAAACATGACTATTTGATTTAGGTTATATTATACATAAAAGGGATACTATTAACTTTATTTATTACGTACCAACTAATAAATACGGGTTTTTTGTATATGTGATACGACACAATTGCTCTTACCCATATCAGCCCTCGCCGTATCACACCCCAAAACCCTTATCAGCCCGCAAAACCTGTATCACACCCCTTTTTCGGAAATGTTCGTTTTTCAATATTTCAAAAGAAAAATAGATAATAAGATAGTAGCTTTTATTAGTAAGTATGTAATAAACAGAATAAAACACGCCTTTTTCCATATCACACCCAGTATCAACCCTCGACCAATATCAGCCTTCAAGCCTAAATGAATTCGGCCCTTGGGCTGATATTGCAGTCTTTGGTTGATAATGGGTGTGATATGGAAAAAGGCATGTATTATTCTCTATATAAATATACAATTAAAAAAGATTAAATGTTCTAAGTAGTTAAGTATAGAAAAAATCAGAGTTAACAGGTTTTGATGTCAGTCGTTATACATATCTTACGATTTCTATATATTCAAGGAGGCAGAACGGCCTAGCAGTTAGTCTTAGATACTTATTGTTTCATAATAATACTGTTCCTGTTGGTAATTCTTTTGTTTGAAAAGATGACCTGCTTAAAAGAGACCAGGGTTGGTTGTTGTGATTCTGTAATTTGTGATTACCCACAGGGCCTGTTTACAGAGTCCGGAGTTGGTTGTTGTGATTCTGTAATTTTTGTTTACCCACAGGACCTGTTTACAGAGACCGGAGTTTGTTGTTGTGATTCTGTAATTTGTGATTACCCACAAGACTTGTTTACAGAGACCAGGGTTGGTTGTTGTGATTCTGTAATTTGTGGTTACCCACAGGACCTGTTTACAGAGACCGGAGTTTGTTGTTGTGATTCTGTAATTTGTGATTACCCATAGGACCTGTTTACAGAGACCGGGGTTGGTTGTTGTGATTCTGTAATTTGTTTTTACCCACAGGACCTGTTTACAGAGACCAGGGTTGGTTGTTGTGATTCTGTAATTTGTGCTTACCCACAGGACCTGTTTACAGAGACCGGAGTTGGTTGTTGTGATTCTGTAATTTTTGTTTACCCACAGGACCTGTTTACAGAGACCGGAGATGGTTGTTGTGATTCTGTAATTTGTGTTTACCCACAGGACCCGTTTACAGAGACCGGAGATGGTTGTTGTGATTCTGTAATTTGTGTTTACCCACAGGACCTGTTTACAGAGACCACAGACGAAGTGGGAGTGTTTCTGCCCAGTCTGAGCCTGCGGCGGGACATGACTGCAGTAGACAGGGACAAAACCAAGCTCAGTCTAGCAGAATTTTATGCACCCACACCAGACATCCCTCGTGAACGTAAGTTCTGAACTAGTAGATTAGTTGCTTCTTTTAAGTGCATGAAAAGTGATTTCATTGATAAACGATTTCCCACAGTCACCATTTTAAAAGGGGAAACTAATAAAGATACCATAATGAATTCTAGATATTGTGAATGTGAAAACAATTATAAATTTCTACATGCTTTTCTTGTAGGAATCTTAATGTTCATATTCTACATAAAATATTGCATTATCTTCATAATTTCTGTTATAGTTCTATAAAGATGTATATCATAAGTGGAAAATAAGTTATGCTTATTATTCATTAATGATATTTCCTTGTAATTTTTGATCTCAGGAAAATTACACCAAATGCAAACAAATGCCTTTTATTAAGCACAAAATTGACTCCCAGGAACATATACATGTGTTTGTATGTTTCCTTGTTTTATGTTAGCAGCAATGCATGAAGATGAGGACACAGAACAGGTCGCAGACATTGGCAACATACCTGTGAGTGCACGATCTACTAAGTTAGTGGTTCAGGTTCCGATGAACAGTGAAAAAAAAGAACCGCAGATGGCTGCTCAACACAGGTGTGATGTGGCTACCTCACCCATCCCCTTCAGCAGCTCTGAGTCGGAGAGTGCTGCCCAGGAATATGTCAGTCCAGCGCCCACCAAGGTGGACAGCGAGCGGACCATACCGCAGGACTTGTCGGAGAGTCAAGAAGCACGGGAGGACCGTGAATTCCGTGCCAAGATACCAAAAACTTACAACAGGGAAGACATGACCAAAATGCATGCGCTCCTTAACTACGAACGTCAGAAAACATGTGGGATAAAGCATCCCCCTTCTGTTGTGCAAATCAGTCGAACTTCTGCGGATAGCTTTATGCTGCCTAGGGAAAATACAGGTTTTACTAGTAAACAAATTGACTTTGCCGAAATGGAACATTTAAGATCTAGAGGCAATAATAAATCTCCTGAAAAAATTCTCAAAATTCAAGGGAAATCCACTACAGATGGTGGAGTGGTTAGATTGTTTGAATCACCATATACAAGTAGATCCTACACTGAGGATGGTCCTAGTAGAATACAGGCTATAGACCATAGGAACTCTCCCTACAGCCGAGGTGGCGACAATTTTCTTCATAAATTCCCTGATGGCCGATTCATGGACAGTCCTGCCTTACGGTCAGGTCGTCATAGTGAGACCACGATTATTAACCTATCTCAGTTTGAGCGAGCGGCCAGTAATTATGCTGTGTTGGTTTCTCGTGCGTCAGAAAGTTCTCTGGCTGATTACGCTCGGAGTTGGGCTGCTCCAGAGACTTCTGATGATAGTCGGCTGTCCCAGGCCAAGTCATACGTCAAACATCCTCAGCCCATCAAGAACAGTATCCCTAACAAGAACAACAAAGCCAACTTCAGGGTAAGTGGAATGTCGAATATTGACCCTGTTTTATTTAAAATGTCAGGCAGTGTTAATATATATTGAAAAACTTTCAGGAAGCCTAGAGAGTGACTTTGAAATATTGGTTATTCCCCTTCATAACAACAAGTAAACTGAAACTTCTTCCAATCAGCAATATTAGAAGTTTGAAAGTTCTTTAGTAAAACTTTTAATAAAATAAAAACTTAAAAGCTTATATTCTCTTTTTGAGAAAGAAAATTGAATCTATATCGCAAGGATTATGACATAATCAAATTTTAATTTAGGTCATCCCCAATCCATCTGAACAGATCAAAATTGTAAAAAGTTTTAAAATAATTATTTGAAGTATTACAATTGTTCACTTTTTGCCCAAGGAATTTATTAAGTAAAGGTTGGTTACAAAATGATGTTAAAAAAATTCTTGTCGTCATGTGACCAGAATGTGACAGATTGTTCTCGATTTACGGGAGATAGAAATTGTCAATTTGTATAGGCTGTGGAACGTGTTACAAATCTGCAGTTTTTAACATTGATTTGCTCATTCATTTATATAATGTTTCATTGAAATACCGCGCAACACACACTGAAAGCCTACGGAACTGTTAGATCATCTGACATGCCAAACAGAGTATGCTTAAAGATAATCACATCATTTTCACACACATTACCCTTCCGCATGAATATTTCATCCATTTACAATAAGTATGATGTTATCAGTGCAGCAGTCACCTATCCGTGAAGTCGATCCACAAAATGGTTTAGGAATTAGTTAGCGGTTTTAAGCTTGTGTATGTTATTAAGTGGGAAATAAAATTTAGCATATAGGTGAAGTCAGGTCACTAAGGGAATAAACCCTGGCATGAAAAATTGATCATACTCATCAAATCGTCAAGTAGGAATGACGTAGACAATATCAATACCTTTAGGGACTAACATGGACCTTGTCAACAGGGACGATAACAGATCAGCTCCTCTTGTATGAGGATGATACAGAGTCTTTATCAGCTCTGTTAGGAACGATAACAAATCTTTGAAGTTCTTGTACGGATGATAATAGAATTCAACAACTCATTTTGTAGGGACAGTCATAGATTTCGTCAACTCATTTTGTATTCGTCAACTCATTTTGAAAGGACAGTCATAGATTTCGTCAACTCATTTTGAAGGGACAGTCATAGATTTCGTCAACTCATTTTGTAGGGACATTTTCATAGATTTTGTCAACTCATTTGGAAAGGACGGTCATAGATTTCGCCAACTCATTTTGTATTCGTCAACTCATTTTGAAGGGACGGTCATAGAGTTTGTCAACTCATTTTGAAGGGACTGTAATAGAATTCCTCATCTCATTTTGTAGGGACAGTCAAAGAATTTATGAACTCATTTTGAGGGGGCGTTCATAGAATTCATCAACTAATTATAATGGGACGTTCATAATATTTGTCAACACATTTTGTAGGTCATAGAAATCGTCAACTCATTCTGTAGGGACGGTCATCGACTCAATTTGTGGGGATGGTCATAGTTTTCCAACTGGACTGACCTTGTAGGGATGACCTTAGATGTCATCAACACTTTTGGTATGAATCTCTTTAATACTTTCATGATGGTAAAGATGTTTGATAGTCTCACAAACACCTTCTAAGTATATTTTACAGTTATTTATAACAAGATGAATAGATCTTTCAAAGGATTCATAGATATTTTAAGAATTGATATGGAAATAGATTATCAATATAGCAAAAAATAGATTATCTATGTGGCAGAATAGACTAAAAGTAAAACCTTTTATATGCATCAACACCGAGTCATAGAGTGGGTACAGTTCGGATGTGGTCCCCACAGCATCACCGCACAACATCAGGTCTGTACCACATAACCACCAAGTAATTAACAAAAACCTTGATAATCTCTGACAAAACCATTTCAACGCAAAGTAAAATCACTTCCTGAACACAATACTTAAGAGAATTGGCATGATGCTGTTCAGGAAATTATAGGAAATCTACTCATTTCCTGCAACGAAGACAATTACTTTGAATAGTTTATAATTAGCGGTACAGGTATCGCTGTCGTAAAGGTGTGTGGGATACGGAGGCTTATCGGGTGGCCCACCTGATTGTGGCATTGCCACTCACAGCTGTCCCCAACTGATACTTCGTAAACTGTGGTCCACACGTACTGACAGACACTCTGATAAACACCATTATACGCTGATGAAATTGGAGTGTGCAAATTCAATTAAGAAAAAAAGCCCGCTTTAAGACCCACAGGAATTATTTTATCAGTCAGAAAAACGAGGCAAAAATGAACAATTTTTTAATATTGAATCACTCCAATTTACTGTAATGATATCCTGCTGATTTAAAGGGATATCCCCTTTTCCACCTATATTTCTTTCACTGGAGTATGAAAGGGATATCTCCCCATCAGTAATTAGCTGCTAATCAGTTCGCCATTGCATATGCCATTTTTAAAATCGGGAAAGTTTTAATATCTTTTGTTAATTTTTCCTTTTTTTTTTTGCTTTTATTTCTTCCAAAATGAAATTAAATTTGAAATTGATGGTATTATATGAATTTACTTGGTGCATATTAAATGATTCACAGGTATTACATAATTAGAAATATCGAACCACATTTCTTTTTCTGATTTTGATAATTTTTATAGTTTGATTTATTTGCCCCTCCACAGAACTACAAGATTTCTAGCTTTATTCGCCGACGGAAGGTTTGTGATGTTTTGTTTTTATTGGCACCCTTACGTGTCGGATCTGTTGTCAACCTTTCCTTGAACCCTGCACCTAGAAATGTTTACGTACCTATATTTTGTATCTATCATTGCATACCTATATTTTGTATCTATCATTATGTACCTATATTTAGTATCTACATTGCATACCTTTATTTAGTATCTATCGTTATGTACCTATATTTAGTATCTACATTGCATACCAATATTTAGTATCATTATATACCTATATTTAGTATCTATCATTACATACCTTTATATAGTATTTATTTTTATGTTTCTGTATATATAGTATAGACATCTTACCTATATTTAGAATCCTGTATAGGTACAATGTACATCTGTTAAAGTTGTAGAATTATGACAAGATCTATGAATTGTTCCCCCCATATACAAATAATGTAAAGCTTAGTGATAGCTAAACAGATACATGTAAGTAGTCATTTTTTTTCCAGAACAAATTCTTCTTTTCATTTGAGATCAGACAAATATTAAATGTTGATGTGGTATTAGAATATGGAATTTTTTTTTATTTTTTAGGATTGTAGATTTTTTGTTTAATTTGTAAAATAAGGTAAGGATATAATAAAACATCATTATATAGCTCAATCTTATACAAATCTTATTTAGTTATTTAGATAATTAGACTTAAAAAGGGGAAAAGGTACTAAGAGTTGATTATCGCTAACATTTTTCAAGCTTTGCAGCCTTGTTTAGACAATATTTCCAATTAATAGTTACAAAATTATGCCATAAAATGATATAATGGAGGATGTTAATTATAAAGTTTTATAAACATTTCCACTTTGATGTCCTCTTTTCACTGTCTGTTGTATTGGTCATCTTATAGAAAAGGTAATATATGTAGTAATGTATAGAATAATATATAAAAAAAAATGCTAAAGATTATTGTACCCTAATGGAGATTTAGAATGTCTCCGCTTATCTGTATGTCCCTTTACAAAATGTGTATGATTGTCAACAGTGAGTTCAACATTTCTACCATATATGGCGAATATTACTTATACACCCAGAATCATATATCTTTGTTTAATTTGCTGTATACCAATAACGTAGTGACCCTGTAGAAGTGTATGTACCCTATTTGCCTAATCATTGCCTTACCAACTGTCATATTATTGAGGTTGTGTTATCTAAATAATCACCCTGAAAGTTCAGTAGACTTTTATTGATTGTATAAAGGTGATATTTTGTAAGGTTCAATTTTTACCTTATTAGCAGATTATGTTACGAATACAGTCTTCAAATTCTGATCTCCTACGAACTATTTGAAAGTATTAAAACCATGATAATAAAGTCAAAGATTGTGGGCAAAACAGCTAAAAATAAAAACAACAAATGTGGTCCATATGTAACACTCTCCATTTGGCCAGACAAAATTAAAACGCTATTCATTGAATTATGTGAAAACCTATATTTGGAGATGCTACATTTTATATAATCTTGTTGGTGTTTGGCTAAGGTTGTAATATATTTGTAGGTTCTCGCTGTAGTGCTTTAAGAGGTAGAACAGTGTTTTCATATTTAAATTATCTCTGTATAGATGTAACAGAAATATTTTGGTTAAAAGTTAGGAATATTAGTGCTATTTTTGATTGAAGGTAAAGAGCACAAATAATAAAATAGCACAGGAAAGAGAGATCATCTTTGTTTGGCCAGAAGTTGTGTTGTAGAAATTTTACTTGTGTAAGGCATATTTGTGAAAATGTATGAAAAATGTTCTGTTTTATCCAGAAAGTAAAAAGCATGGCACAACTTTTTATCCCACACACCACAAAATCATCTGGCACTCTATCATGACTCTTCTTAACCCTGTTCATTGCTCTAAGCTTCCTCCTATTGCATTTCCTCATAATAGCACCAACTAATATTGATGATGTTTATTCTTCATTTTACTTAATTCACAAATTGACATTAGAGCCATATGTAGTTTTATCTATCTGTTTATCAGTGAATGTTTTTGATTTTAATTAATTGATGCATATTTCAATGTGTTTGACAAATGGAAAGATATTACATAATAATGCATAATATTGATATTGAATTACAATGTTGATGCTATTTGAAAAAGATTAATAAAATCTACCGATATTGAATTTTTAGGACATTATTAAGTTAAAAATTATGATATTGCATACTATTTATAATAAATTGAAATGTTGATGCTATTTGAGAAACAAAACAAAAGATACAAATGTAAATTTACAAGGGAGAAATGTGCAGGTATTTTTTCACTAATAAATATGCAAATACATATAGGAGTGTGACTGTCATAGTCACAGGTCACAGGTGACTGTCATATAGTCACAGATGACTGTCATATAGTCACATGTGACTGTCATAGTCACAGGTGACTGTCATATAGTCACAGGTGACTGTCATATAGTCACAGGTGACTGCCTATCAACCATCATCAGCAGATCTCTTGCAAGATGTGCTACATATCTTTCTATAGGATCTTACATGAGTTTCCATTTCATATGAGATTTATGAAACGAGTCTAAGAATTTTTCAATTGAGCGAGCCTCTGGCGAGCTAAAATGAAAAATATGTGAAGAGTTTCATAAATTATATGAAATGAAATGATAACGCGTGTTAGATCCTTTTTATCACATAATCAAGATTTGTGGCATTTATTCGTGTAAAACGACAATTTTCATGCAACCTTGAAATGTAAAATGCCGCCATTTTGACTCCAGTGCTTAAGTCTGTGACGTCATGTACTTGTCTTAGGCCTGCATTGCGTCACAATTGAAACAATTGAAACTTACAACCAATCACAGGGCTTATAGGTCATATTACATGGGATAATACGCAAAAAAATATGACGGGTATTTTCACTGGATAACACAGTACATTATGTGATAAAAGATATACAGAAAGCTTGTCCCTACATCAATGTCATTGTGTGGGATCATTTCCTGTTTGTTAGAGAATTTCACTGTGGAGGGCCACTTCTTGTTTATATGGGAATGTCACTGTGTAGGGCCACTTCCTGTTTATATGGGAATGTCACTGTGTAGGGCCACTCCCTGTTTATATGGGAATGTCACTGTGTAGGGCCACTCCCTGTTTATATGGGAATGTCACTGTGTAGGGCCACTTCCTGTTTATATGGGAATGTCACTGTGTAGGGCCACT